CACGTCCTCTCTTACACAGGCGGGGGGGGGGGGGGAGGGGTCCTGAAAAAAAAGAGCAAGGAAGCAAGTGACAAAACACATATCACAATATTGAAATGGAAACTCTGCCCATGAAATACTTGATGCGACATCAGCGCAAGTGCAGTATGAAGGTGCAGAGCTTGCTTTATGATGTCACAATGTCCGTGTTGTCTCTTTGGCATTACCATGACCAGCTGTAGACACTTATGCAGGGAGTACATGTGAGATCAGAGCCTATTTAGCCTTGTTTCTCTATCACTAAACCATAATTTAATATTCTGTCTGACCAGAGCCAATATGCTTTGCTCTTTAGCAGGTTTATTAACAGTCATGATTTTGCCTCTTACATAGAGAAGATTTTTGTTTTGCTCTTGAAGTGACATAAGAAACAGAAAACCTAACATAAGTAGTTATATCAACTTATTGTATACAGTTTATTCTATGCATTCTGCCTATGAAAGAGTAGTTGACAGAAAAAAATGCTTTCTGATTTATTGCTTCAGAATTATTAGTTAGAATTTTTTTTGCAGTTGCAATAAGTTTAAATAGCTTTGTATTGCCCTCTTGTGGTGAACAGGGAATGTAAATATTGTTGGACAAGTTTTTTTAATGCAAAGTTTTTAATTTTAATCTAAGAAATATATTACATTTTACAGCCAGCGCTGCAGATGTCTCATCAAACCTTAGAAACTTCTCAGTAACCACACCAGGTAAGACATTTATACACATATTCTTTACTTAGTTTTCTTTAAACAGAAATTTCAATACCTTCAAGCTATACATAGTCAGCAAAGCTTTTCAGAATTATAACTGGCATTGTGTGCGTTACAGCGGCAGCCTTCTGAGTTAGGAAGTAGCAGCGACAGCCAATGTATAGATACGTGCAGATGCCAGGCTATTCAATGCATTCAGTATGGAACCCTTTCTGAAGTGCCCAGATGCTTCAGTTAGTGCAAAATGCAGCAGCTTGGCAGGTGAACAGTGTTTATAACTGCTATTATATAATCCATATGTTGAAAGACACACACCATTTCACAATTTAAAGTGGGCTTTCCCTTTAATGACCTAAAATAAGTCATTTAGGTCCTTAAAGGGAAGTCCCACTTTAAACTGACTCCTTTACAGTATAACTTTATAACTTCTTCACTCCTTATAAACCTATCTAGACTTGAAGATGTACCAGCTATCAGATGTTCACCTGTCTGGTTTGCTGGACAGGGCTTTCTTTTCACTGGTTCCAAGGGTACAGAATATACTTCCTCTGGAGTTGCAATTGAATCCAGCTCTGCATTTAAAAAAGCAGCCATGACACCAGACGTTTAGGGTTATAGTCTATGTTTCTGAATGCTGCCATTAGCCATAATAAATATTTGATTGAAGGCATTCTATACATATCTAGAGAGAAATCTAAACAATAAAATAAAAATATTTTTAAGGACTACCTTTTCCTGTGTAAATCTGGTCACATTTTGACAAAGAGCTGCTGGCGTGCTTCCATTTTAAAAATTCATTGATATTAGATTTCAGGGACGGGAAGGATATTGTTGGTCCTTTAATTTAGCCCCTTGATCAGCATAAGACCTGCACTGCAAGTAAATAGTCTTGTAGGCTTTGCTTAAGTTGCTTTGGTGAAAAAAGAGATGAGCATCTTCTAGAGCAGTCAAAGATTTGTTGTTAAGAAGTTCTCCTAAAGCAGGGTTAGCAATTTATGGCCCCACTGAAGTTGGGGCATTTTGTTTTTCAAAAGTAAGGGTGAGAATGGGAGTGCAAGCCTTCTGAGAGAAAAATTGCTCCCTTTTCCACCTTTGAAACCTCAACACTTTCTCACAGATTGCCTTCAGTATAGCCTCAAATCAATTTGCATTGCCAACATTTGGCCATTTTGTAAGTTAATTTTTACAACACAGCTTCATGCCATATTGGGGTGGTGTGTGTGTGGGGATTCTTAATGATGTAAGGAAAGCAATCTGTCTCCCAGGCTTCCTGCTGTTATTTTCATCCTTAAAAAATTACCTCAAACAGCAAAAATGGAATGGAAAAAAATTGCTTCTGCAGTAACATCACTATGGCTCCAGAAATCCTTTTTCAGCCCTCCTATCCTAAAGCTGCTTCCTACTGTTTCCACCAGTTGGTTTTAGTTCTGTTCTCTAAAACAACAAAAAATAGTTGTATAATATATTCACTTTGCGTTGACTCTTGTCACAACTCTTCGCTACAGCATACAAAATGTTGATCAAGTTGTTCCCCAAACCATGACTGAGTCTTTATGAGAAAGTTTGGAAAATTCACTCACATTTCAGTTTATAAAAATAAGCTATAAGATTATGGCTGTTTTTATTTGCATGGTTTTTAAAATAAACGAAAACTGTTTCTTTATTTACAGCAGATTCATCTATTGTCACTTTTGTCACCTATCCTAACAGTGCTACAGGCAAGATTTTACTAAAAAATTTGACATAGAGTAGGTTTAGTTTCTATTACTTTTCTTCTCTTTTCATTATTTGTATCACTTTTGTGTTTTTGTATTCTTAGAGTTCTCTTCAGTTGGAACTCTGGATACTGCAGGTAAGAGTGGTTTGCTTATTTATGTAGAAAACTTCTTGTAGAGCTTTTAATTTCAGTAGAAATAGGCTAAAAGCTGTTTGGCTTAAAGCAGTACAAGAAAAAATAGGTTTAAATAGAATGTCAAATCATGCTGTAAACCATCCTTTCAAGAAGAGAAATACTCAGGTACTTTGGTTCAAACCTTTTTCTTGATGAACCATTCCCAGTATGGTTCTAATAATTCTCAAAGGGATAGATTAGTATTTAACTACGGTAAACTAGAGCAAGATATATACAGTGTAACTGACATTACAGTATAACAGAAGAGTCCTGCCTCATGGAGCAATGGAAATGAAATTAGATTGATTGAAATATTACAGTAAAACAGCAATTCAGTGATTAAATTTGGGTGTTCTTAAATGAGAGAAAAAATAAAGGAGTTATGAGGTAAATGGCACAATACTGCAATATAGTGTTTGGCTTTTGAACAAGAGGAAATAAGAAAATGGCAGTGGGATTTGGAGAAAACAAAAAGTGATATTTAAAGACAGAAAATAAATTATAATCACACTTATTTTTCTGCGAACTGAGCAAAGACAGAGAAAGAAATTCTGAAAGATCCTACTAACTGAATTGCAAATCTTCAAAATGCTAATAGAGGTATTTTCTCTATAAAGCTAAATTTCTACTTGGCTTATTCTTCAGGCAAAAGAGCCAAAGCCAAAGGAAATTATAAAATGGTGATGGAATGTCTCTACAGTAGCAAGGAAACTCATTGTGTTCAACAGTATAGCCAACTATTGCAATCCAGTATGAAGTTAGGGTTGTACACCACAGTCATTTGAAGAAGCCACAACTCTCTTGGTAGAGGATTATATTTTTTCAATTTGTTATTCTTATAATATAAAAAACAATAGAAAGAAGGGGGAAACAGAAATAAAAATACCCCCCAAAGGAAAAAGAAAACAACAAAAATATAGTATATATGAAATAATCTTTCAGCTCAGTCATTTAAACATGTCATTAAACGTTGATGGAATAATAATGAATCAGTCTTCTATTGATTCAGTAAAGTGCCAGTTCAAAAAAATAAAGGAAACACATAGACAGTTCAAAAGTATAAATTTAGAGTCATGTTCTCTTTCCAATATTGAAGAGTAATCTTTATTGATGATGACCCCACTTGTTAGATCCATAATTCTTGATATAGTGACAAGTTCCACATTTTTGTATATCTTAAGAGTTGACCTTCTCATAGAAAATATCTTAATATCTTGTCAATCTGCTGAAAAAGCTTTATTCCTACATGTTATTGTTATGTTTATAATAATTAATTTTTCATTAATATATTTTAGCATATCATTGAAATTTAGCATTTTGCCATTGAAAATCTATATTGCATGACAAAATAGTATAATTTTTGTATAATTCCAGAACTTTACAGTATAATTCACTAAAAATTATAACTCATTTCATTTTTCTTTAGAAACAACTAATATAATGGAACTTGGTTTTTCAAAATAGATTTTT